GGTCACTATCCGGTTTCATCCAGTTCCCCATCCACCATTTAATTTTACTTAACTTTTCACCATTATTCTACGTTGGAAAGGAAACAGAATTCGAAACCCGACACGGGAGTTGAAAATTACCACAAGCAGCCTGGGAACATCAGGGGAGTAAGATGGAGATTACAGACGAAATCAAGCAAAGAGAACAATGATCTTAGTTGTCAATAAGCAATTTGATCAATCTGGAAAGATTGAGAGTAAGTAACAAAATGTTCCAACGCATTACATAAGCTGGTTTGATGCTTGATTAGCGCGAAATCTACGGGATCGGTTTGGAGGGAAACCAAAGTCATGAGAACTAATCCAGTCACACCACATGTTGCGTTATCTAAAACATAAATCGATAACAATTGATAGTGTTCCTCCCGCTGACCACAAGTCCTGTGTACGTGTGTGACAACGTTAATCAAGGATAGCGGATTGGTACGCATAGTGATTATGCATTTACCAATTGCAAACAGTATAGTTGCCAAAGCCGCAATCTATCTTTCGATTTCATCCTTTTCGGAAAAACCGACAATTCGATCCAGCAGTGAGTCACAGAACAAGTAATACCTCCTCAGTAGAACATTGTGGCTGATTATTAAGTAACTGAGCAGTGCTGGACACTGTAAGGGCGGGAACCACAAAGTCACGATCTACTAACCATTTGAAGACCCAGATCAGTTTAAACCTTTTCTGAGCAGTTTGAATGTCGAATGAGTCACCTCAGGTACAGAGTTTGTATCTTTAAGGTTTCAAATTTTGTTATAGTATTACATTAGTTCAATTCCCACCATCACTTTAACTGAGGAAGCAATAGAGACTGCACAAATTTGTCCATTGGAGCCCCCGGTGCACGCATCACGGATGAAGTGTCGACACACATGAGGAAGGGGCGATTGGCTACCGTCAACATTAGATCTCTACGACGACGCTGCGACATTTGGCTATCTTTGAAAGGTTGCTACAACCGTGTGGTCGATACTCTCATCTGTAGCAGAGATATGGAAGTTGCAAGAGAAGGATAAGGACCGACTGCCGACGTTCGAACTTTGCTGTCTGTGCCGTACTGAACGAGTTTGGTAAGACAACCGAACAAACGATAATGAAATTACACGGAGAGGTTTAGGTAGTCCCGGTCGCGCACCAGTGAGTGCTCCACCTCCATAGATTTGGATGAAAGGATAAATGCTTCCTCGACGTGCAGTGTTTTTTCGGGGCGGTGAGTGGGTGGAAGAAAGTTCGGGGTGATAGAGCACTGGACAGCTGTTTCGTCCCGTTTGAGAATCGTAAGCAGTGCGTTAACAGTGCCTGATGCCTGTGAAAAATTGAATGGACTAACCCAAACATTCATTTCCCTAAACTGATCGAGACACACAAGGCGACGGTCGTCGACCGCGTAGCTCGGGGGTAAGAGTGCCGACTCCCAACCCGAAGGTTCACGACTAGAATCTTGACAGGGATACAAAAAGTAAGCATTGTTAACCAGTCGCAAACAGGAAGAGATGGCTGTCGAAGCATTTTTGTAACGCTCTTAAACTGTGAATTTTGTGGAGTCCCTCCCATAAAATATAGCACCACAGGTGGCGACAGTCTGTCTATTCTTCGTCACATCACTAACTCGTTCATCCGAGAAACGAACAATGCAGTAATCGATGCTAGACAGCGTGAATTCAGTACAGCTGACTGATTTAGCTAAGGCCCGACATGAGTGATGAAAGCAACGGTGTAAATCATTCGCTGATTAGGTGGGCATGGAAACACGATTACAGTCTGCTCACGTCAGTGCTAAACCCCCAAGCGGCCGCGCCATTAATCTCGAAAATCATATTTACACTTTTGTGGATTTATTTGCCATTAAAACGCATCGTTATCAATTTCAAGGACACCAAATTCTTTCCTACACGAGAACGTTCATGAAATCTGTTATCGCGCGAACTGCGCCTTTTGCGAAATATTCCAACAATGTAAGAAATATGTTCAAACGGATGATCAAAACACAAAACGGCAGAAGTATAAAACATCGAGCAAGTTGGCAAGTCTCTCTCAGACAGTGCAGCACCAGTCAAATGCAAATTCCTCTCATTTTAACAAGCAATTTTCGTTCTCTGGTAGGAAAAGTCGAGGAGGTAGTAAACATCACACGGAAAAAGGAGTACAAAAACCTGGGAATTGTTATGCTTCAGGAATCGTGACTGCCCGAAGAAATCTCTAGTGAAATCGTACAAGTGGATGGACATAACTTGTATCGGGTTGACCGTCCCGTGAGTATCCGTAAACGAGGCAGAGGTTTTGCAAGTTACGTTGGCGACAACTGGAGTAAATCAACCGCTGTCATCTACGAATACTCAGCGGATAAAATCAGTTGTCACGTCATTGAATGTAAGCCCCGGTTTTTGAGTGGGTTTCATTCCATTCTCCTTGGAAACTTTTACCTGTCACCAACAATATCAGTGGCTGACATAAATAGTTTTTCTGACATTTTTCTAC